ACATTTGATCACTATTTAAACATCATAAAGATTTTGCATGTGAAATTTCAAAATTTTCAAATGCATAAAAGTATTTTTAATGTTAAAATGAAAATTACTTTGCATGATAGATAGGCAAGATGGGAAAAGAAAAAAAGGCATGAGAGAAACATTGCTTTGCAAACCTTAAGACTTGATAATAAAATTAGATATTTTGCATATGAAAGCATTGTAATGTTTATTGATAAACTGCCAAATTTGTTAACATTTACTTACTAATCTAAAAGTTGTAGCATGAAAACTATAACAAGCACAAAATGGTTACGATGTCAGTCCCAGGGACCAAGCCTGGGTTGAAAGAGTTAAGTAAGGATGATCTTGAAACGTAATTTCATTTCCTTATTTAAATGTTTCAACAGTGGAATTGAGATACTGTACTTGGAAGATTTTTCTGTATCTGAAGATGAATATTTATTTGTTGCATTTGTCATTTTTAAGCAATTATCCTTCTCTTTTTGGGTGAGATCCTTAAATGCTCGGCTAATTCTTTGGCAGCATGAAACCAGATTTTAAGTTCTTCATTTTTCTTTTTTTATAAATATTGTTCTGCTCTTCCACACAACTATTAATGAGGTTGTATGCAAGAAGTACATCTAAAGAACTCTTCTGTAATTTTGAAGCTAGTGGATGAATCAGCTCCAAATTATGCATCAAGATGATGACTAAAATGATTATTTGAAAGTTGGTCATAGTGCTGTAAAGCCCTTGTGTCTGTATCTTTTTCTGAATTCTAGTCCTCAGTATTAAGTAGATGTGAATATTCTGTATAAAGACCTGGGTTAAGAATGGCTTCCAAAAAGGTAAAATGTGTTAATACAGATCCACAAAATGCCCAATGACAGTATATAACTTAACCCATCTAGCTTTGCAGAAACCTAAAAGACTGCTAATTTTTAATTGTGGAGCAAATATTTGTAAAATCTGATTTAAAAACTGCTGTTGCTTAGAAGGAAAAAATATCAGCTTGTCCGATTACACCAAGAAGATTTGAAGTCTTGGGTAACTGGAAAGAGACTTAAATATAAAGAATGTGCATAGCAATGAATATAAAGTCTAAGGTTGGCTCCAGCAAATTTAAAAATTCCCCTTTCAAGTCCATTCTGGGCAGCAGACATTGAAGAGACTACATAGACTTGTCTCATTTTGTTCATTGGAAATGCGAACTTCCTCAAAGCATTAAGTATCTTGGAAGTTATAGCCTGTCCAATTGTTCTTACAAGATGAAACTCAAAGTATTTGTACTTTCATATCTTGATCAACAAATCGGAGACTCAGAGAAAGAATTTCTACATTTGCAGGATGATCAGTTGCTTCATCAGCAATGATGCTATATACTCCTAGATCAGATTTTTTGTAAAGAATCAACTATGTGATTTTTGAAGGATAGATAATTTTTTGTACATTCCTTGAAGTAATCTTGCTTCTTTTTTTGTGTGCATTTTTCAAATTATATATACATATGTAATCTGTCTTTCCTGAGATAACCATCAAAAATGGCCTTATTTAAGGAATCTTTAATGAGTGCACTGTTGGAATGACCTTGTAAAGGCAGTCCTTTATGTCCACAAAATACTATTAGTTCAGTAATGGAGTGTAATATTTTTTGGGTTTCATCTTTTCATAGTGTGAAAGTCATCTTTAAAGTCACTATGCCTTGAACAATCTTTATGATTGACAAGAAATGAAGCTTGTTTTCAAATGCATCTTTGGAGTAATGCAAACTTTCATACATTTAACATTTAAAAATGAGCTTGAATTAATGTACCTACCATTTAAAAGTTTTTGTCATTATGATTTCCAAGTAAAAGGCAAGACTAACAGAAACTGCCACATTACTTTCAACTGCCATGGAAATTCTAAGAATCCAGTTTGGTAAAATGTGATTTCCTTTGACAATTGTTTGGCTAAGTAGCGGTAGCTTTCTGATGGTATTTGTGGTGCTTTCATATATTATAATTTGTCAGTATCCAAGTTTGATTCATATTGTACAAGATGAGTAACATCCAATTTTGATTCAGTTTATTGCTTGTTGGGATTGTTTTTTTTATCTGAATGTTATTGTCTCATAAGATAAGGAGATTGCTGAAGGTTCTGACATTGCAGGTACTGATGCCAGAGATTCTGACATTAAATGTATTATGTAGAGTGCTTTGACATAGGGGAGTTGACCTTGAAGGCAACAATGTATAAAGCTGAGTTAAAGAAGAGAGAATCCTCAAATGCCACAGCACTTCAAATTCTTTTAGGCAGGATTATAGTAAATTAATCTGAGCATGGTCAAATACATCGGTCAAAAGGGTTTGACCTCCTGAATCCAAAACTATAATTATACTTCAAAATTGGTTAAGAGATGACTGAGCTAAAATTTTGTTCTTTCTATGAGCTGCTATGCTGCAGCTAAAACTAAAAATAAGGCAATGTTTTTCATCTGTGATGAATTGCCTTTTAGTATTTTTGACAAACTTTGCTTTTCTATGGCTTGAACCAGATTTTTTTCTTTTTTGTCAGCTTATCTAAAATTTGAATAAAATCATATATTGGGTACATTGCTGGAAAGAATAGAAATATGGTTTATTGAAACAGAATTAAAAGAAAGGCATAATGCAGAGGTATATTATAAAATAAAAAGAAATAAACTACTTTAATCTTTAGAAATTATGTATTTAGTCAAATGTGAATAAACTATAATATAAAGATTTTTAAAATCAGAGATTTTCACAGAATTAGCATTATCATATTGAAAATAAACCTCTGTGTTCTGTAACTTGATTATGGCAATTGTAACATGGAAATATTAAACCCATTTTATAAATTAAAGTAATAATAATGTATAATGTTTTTTTTTTACTTCTGTGGGTTTGAATAAGTCATAAACTAATGCAAGATATAACTATAACCAAAATATTGAACCAGAACAACAAACTGTTGTGAAAGGTAAGTCAAAATGTAATGGATACTGTCAAAATACACTTAATACGAACACGATATAGATTGCATTCAAACTTATCCCATACAATATTCAATAAAATTACAAATAGAATAATGAGGTAATAGAAGAAATAAAATCCACTACAAATCACTATTATTTATTGTACTCCTAAGTTTTATATTTGATTTTGAAGGTAACTGTAGAAGTAATGAAGATGTCCAGTGAAAGTGTAAGTAGATTACATGCTTTACAGCCAACACATTATTGATGTTTAGCCAGTCAATATGCCTGATAATCAGACTGGCATGATGACATTTTAGGATTTGCTGGGAAATCTGTTACTAATGTGTCTTTGCAACTTTTCAGCAGTCTGTGGATTTGTAATTTTAGTCAGACATGAATTAATGAGGTTTTATTTGACATTCTAAAGTAGGTTTAGCTTGATACATATCTCTTCTACAGGACAGCATCTCAGAGGTGATATTTTCTTTAAATGATGTTTTAGAATTTTATCTAAAGAGGGGGCACAATTTTAACAGGGAAAGCATTTTTATCTGAGAGGGGTGTACCAATGAAACATAGTGAAAGCTCCCTTTTTTCTGTTCTTTTCAACTGTATAAGTCGATACGGCTTCCAGTTCATAGAGATCACAACGAAGTGTTAAAGCTTAGCTTGGTGATATGTTGCTAGAAGAAAAAATGTTTGTGAACATCTACCATAGTTGTAGTCCTGATTTTGTTTTTGTTGTTGTTGTTTTATTTAGCTGTGGCTTAAAGAATGGCTGAGTTTTTTTTTCCCAAATACAAACATTTAACTCGTATCTCCATGTCTTGACCAATTTGAGGTCTAATTACAGCCGTGGCTAACAATGATTCTCTCTTTTTTCTAAAGCTTGCAAAAAGCTTGTTTTATTATCATATACTTCTGTGAATTGTGATTTTGCAGTATGATTGGAAAATAAATGTTTTTCTTTGAACAAATTGAGATAGACTCATTAAATCATTTTGTACTCTGCCATATCAAGATTCTTTTCGCAGACAAGACTGCTGTGATAAGCCATGTTTGCTTGGGCCTTATTGATCTAAGTTACTGTTTGAGAGTACGAAGAAAATCACTGAAAGGAAATGTAAGATATATATAAAATGGATGTAACTTATTACATATATGAAATTGGTGATTAACAGTTTTTAAAATAAATGCTTGCTTATGATTTTGGGTTTGCAAAAACAGTTTATTTTATTTTACACCAGTGACTATAGACACAGTGAAACTACATGTGGTGTTTTACAAAGCAAAACAGACAAAGTTTACACTTTTATAAAATAACTTTATAAGAAAGTTTGAAAGAAAATCTAGGACTACAAAAATCAGAAATTAAAATCTGTAACAAAGGTAAGCTTTTGTGATTTTCTTAAGGATAAAAAATATATTAATGAATTCTTTTCCAATTTTGAAAACTTGCAATTTCATAAAAACATCATGTATAAAGTCATTTGCAGAAGCTTCATGAGCTATTGAAAGTCCATCTGAAGTTTCAAATTGTTTCATCCAATAATTGTTTTCTAATGCAATTAAACAAACTATACTATAGGTGTTTCAAATAAATGTACTTGAGCGTCTGAGAGTTAAATCACTATTTTATTAAAATAAGAATTGTTTTAGGGTTAGATTGACAAAGCAATAAATGAAGTTATGTAGAAGAAAAAAATAATCAACAATTTAATGTTATAATAAACTTCCTTTAACTTTTAATGATAATTTGTGTTTTGTTTCTTCACATATCAAGATACTTTAGTTGTTAATCCTTACTATTGATGTATAAAGACACTTGGTTTTTATAATAATCTCAAATATGCAATTTATAATAATTTCCACAGTTCGTAATTGGAAATCAAACTGGTAAAGATTTGCTCCAAAATTGAATTATTTTTCATGAGTGATTGGACTAAAGCATACATTTTAATTTGATAGATTTTTCAAAATCTTTTTATATTTAATGATGTACCTTGTGGTCTTGGAAGTTCTTTATTCTTTAAGATACCTGTGTATAAAAAGTTCATATGCTTTTTTAAGGATCAGTTGGTTTGCTATACTAATTGTACGATTTTTTTTGTTGCAGAAAATAGAGCAAAAAATGAAAAGTTAGAGAAGGAATTAAAGAAACTACGCTCTTCATTAAAAGATGCCCTAAAGTCTAACACTGCTTTGGTAACCCAAGTGCAACTTTTTAAACGGTAAAGCTCAATTATGTAATTTTATTTACTTGGTTGTATCTACTTATGTTAAAACTACATGTATAAAATAGAGATCCAACAAAACCTATAAGCTATCATGTAAGTTTGTGTTCTTGAAAGTTTCCCCATTAGCATCTTGTTATGATGTTTCATCACATACTTTAATTTCTAATGACTAATGTAAAAGATGTGTGCTTCGAATAGTCATAATCCATTTGCCATGATGAGCATTTAGTGACAGTCCTTGTCAGTAGTATTTTATTTTAGATAGTGGAAATTTGTGCTGTGCAAATTAAATATAATGTTTTAAATTTTATGTCACTGTATTTCTTTCCCAGAAATGATCATGCCTTAGTATATGATTTTAACTTTAAGTCCAATAAGATGCCTAGAATCAAATGGTTATTCAGTGTATCATACTGTTACGAATTTCATCAATCATAAAATAAAACATCACAAACCATGTTTACTATGAAATTTTCATTTACATGTGATAAAAGAAATAAAAAAAACATGGTACAATTGCTGTAAGATCTAAGTTGTTTTGGTAACTTTATATCAGTAATTCTTAACCAAACATGATTACAAGTTGAAGGTACTGAAATGTTAGTTTAGACATATTACTCACCTCTCCACAGAACACATAGCATGAATCAACCTTTTGAACTAAACTCCCACCCATGCGTGTAATAACGTGTTCTGCAGCAGCCTACCCTGTAATCAGCGTTAGAGTATACCACTCCATCAATAGGAGGTAACACATCTGCTATGCACAGTACTCCTCTCAAGAACTTTGTATACCAAAAGATCATTCTTTTCCTCAATGCTACCATGTTCATTCATGTTTTTTTTTCATTAAGATTTACAGAATTTGTGTTTGTTTTGAAATTTTAGTTATGTTCAAAGTGACATGTTTCTTTTATTTTCTTGACTTCAAGAAACATATAAATTTTAAAAATCGCTTTCATTTAGAGCTTCTGATGCAAAGTGTTATGTTTTTCTACATTAATTTTATTTCTTCTCTCTTCCAAGTTATGACATTCTCGGACATGTATTCCAGAGTCTGTGATATAGTTTCTTTGACAAGAATATTCCCTATCATCATTACCCCAGTGTTTGTGTTTTGATAATTAGTCCAGATTTTATTACTATGTAAATAACTAAAACCTAAGTACCATAGAAATAGTAAACCTACTTTAAAGATAATAATAATTAATATTACTAGTTACCATGAGTTCAGTTTCAAGGATCTTGGAGAGTACAATTTCTCATATCAACATTCCTGAAACGTCCTGAAGTTCTGAATTTCCTCCAAAAGAGTTGACTTTTCGTTAACACACTCATTACGAGTTTGGTTGATATATCTGAGTTCAGGAACCCAAATGACCTTTATAGTTTCCTTACCATAATTTCTAATATGTTTTGTGTATCTTCACAAAATTTTGCAAGCTTTCAGTAAGCATTAAGTCTTTTGTAGACAAAAAAATCAGAATTATTAATGGAATCTTTTCACTAAAAATTTCTTTGAATATGTAGAGTTAAAGTGTTGACCGCTTTGAGTTCAAAGGGATTTTCATGTTAACATTAAAAATAACTTTCTTTATCTGAAAAATCTCAAATTTCATTTGTCATTTCTAACACCTCCTAAATAAATTTCAAACATTTTTTTTTTGTCTGTAAAACTTTATATTTTATTTAGTTTCTCTACCCTAACTCTGTACGAGGTCGGTCAATTTCACAGATCTTGTAACCACCATAAAAAAAAATCACCCTTATTTTCTTTCTAGAACGACTTCAGATTGTAACATGAAACTGCATTTGTTTATTCTGAATACCTTAATACTCATAACATTGTACATCAGTTTCTAGTTATTGTTTTATTGGCTTTTGGACTGTGTCTAACTAATAATCCTGCCACATAAATTGTAAGTCACTTGGCAAATGTGTAGCTCATGCTACCCTATCGAATTACATAACACATAGGTTATTTGCAAGTGTACCTCATGAACATTTTTTTTTATTATTTTTCTTTATTTCCTTATCTAACCTAAAAAGTTTCTAATTTTTAAATTTTAACTATTTTTGTAATAATAAATAATACACATAAAAAAACAAATATATAGTACTTATCTGGGTCTTCCTGTTTTTTGCTGTCAACTGTTGACAAAACTTAACCCTACATTTTTATACTAAAGGCATTACTGCACTAAGTATTTTTTTATTTAATTAGATAATGTACCTAAGAACACAGAATAGTAACATGTAAAAAGCAGACAATTTCCTATAACTATCATAATTGCAATAAGAGCCATTAAAAATTCAGCTAAGCTTGTCAGTGTACTTCCTGTTTGAATAAAGTTTTAACTAGAAGCGAAGTAGATAATTCTCTGTACAGAAAACAATATAATATGCCATTTGATAGATTAAAAACTTTGGCTTTTTATTGGCTATAAGAATATAGTATTAAACGATTGGTAAGTTGTTAAAGAGAAGATGTAGCAGGTGGGTACAACAAGACAAGATGGGTCTGATTTTTTAGTTTATATCTATGTAACCAAATAAGATTGAAGGGTAAAATAATTATGCTTTTCCTGAGTAATAACAATGTTATAATGAGTAACTTGTGTTAAATTCCATACTTTTTGGAAGAATGGTAAATAAACTAGAGAAGAGTGAAGACCTAGAGAGCAAATGTCAAAATTCTCATTCTAGGGGGAAAATGAGGATTGGTTTTTAATAATGCTTTATAAATCAAGAACTTAAAACTGATATAATATTAAAATTTGGAGCATTAGTTACATTTTGATACCAAGTTTATTCGTATACCAGGATAATAAAGTATTTTCATTAAATTTTGAATATAACTCGGTAAAACCATGTGATAAGTGCAGAAAAGAATGCCTGTATGGAAAGAGTTAAATAGCAACTGGAGTTACTCTGACAGTGAGAATGTTACCACCCACTACTGTACATCATATTGTTGGTTCTATCCTTCATTTTACTTCTTGGACCCAGGACTTGTGGCCTCCTGTTTGTGTAACTTCTGAGACTGCCTTGTCGTTAGACATCTTTGACCCCAGCTCTTCCTACAATCTGCCTTTGCCTTTGATGAGGATAAAGTAACATTTACCTTTGTATTTTGCTGCTCTGATAACTCAGATGTATAACATTTGTTCTTTCACTTTAGTTTCTACTGATTCTTGCATGAGTTTCTTTTATAAAGTGCAACTAATATAATTATTTTACCCTTTTTTCCTCCCTCACCTTTCAGCCGTGGGGGCATTATAATGTGACAGTCAATCCCACTATTCATTGGTAAAACAGTAGCCCAAAATTGGTGGTGGGTTGTGATGACTAGCTGCCTTCTCTCTAGTCTTACACTGCTAAATTAGGGATGGCTAGTGCAGATAGCCCTCGTGTAGCTTTGCTCAAAATTCATAACAAACAAACAAACTATTTAGACTTATAAAGACTGATAGGCTTAAGCATTAGGGAATCATTTTTGTAACAGAAAGTTAAAATGTCAGTTGATAGAACTGATCCAGTTCAATACTTTGTTTACTTAAAATTCTATTCTATTGCTTGTTTTTTGTTTTAGAGAACAGTATTTGAATGCTAGTTCTATACCCACTGTCTCTTACCAACCAATCCAGTTTGAGACTTGTTCAGAAGGAATGACCAAAGCACCCACACCTTCTGGTCCATCTCCCAAAATGGATGAATACAAGGATACAATTCGTCAAATTGATCAAGTATCTGCTAGACCTAGAGTTAGCAGGGTAAGTTGACGAACTAGCAGTTTTTGTCATAGTTCAGACCTTGACTTTAACTTTTGAAGACACTAGCAAATGATTGCTAATTTGTATTTCCCCACTAGCATATTTGGGACTGATACTAACAGTAACATTGTTATTTTGCTCTAATTATATAATGAATTAAATGTTAATAAATATTTATATCCTATTTATATCTATAAATCTTATGCCATGTTTTCTTTTCAAATATTTTTCAATATTAAAATATGTAGGAGTATTTTTAACTATTTTATAAAAGTTAAAAGATACTCAATTTGGATGGAAACTGAAGAAACTGGATAACGAATGGCTGGATCAATGGATTCTACAGAATTCTGCTGCTAAGACTATAATAAAAATAGATAATTTATTCCTCCAAGAAATCTGTTTTCTACACTTGTTGCCAATCAATATAACCGAAATGCTTACTAACTAGTTGCTTTATTTTTTTTGAATAATAGACCTAAAATCATATTAAAAGAAAGGGTCTAAAGTTAGAATAACTAAAGAAAGTGCTGATTAGAATGCTTTATTGAAGATGCAAGTTCATTCTTTGTATAAGAATGAACATTAAAACCATTAAGGCATTTGTAATACTAAATTTAATGAATGTTTGTGTAAACTTCAACTCGCTAGTTTATAATTATAACCTACAAAAAAGGGGGGGGCTGCAAATAGTTTGTAAATTCCAGCTATTTTGCAACCATCGGAACTTCCTTTATTTCTTCACAAATTTCATATTTAGCAGTACCATCTTTCAAATTGTCTAATTAGAATTACAAAGTAATTATAACGTGAATAATACTTGCTGCTGGTTCATTGTGATCTCGCATCACCATTGTATTGGTTTATTCCAAGTGCTGCTATTCAGCAAAGTGTCATTTTTGGTATTCAAAAAGTCTCCAAATATTTTTTCATTTAAATGTAGAACAGATTAATTGAAAAACTTCTTTTATTGTTATAATCTGTTCACAAATGTGTAAAAATACTGGAATGGTTTTGTTTTCCAAAAAAAATATAATGAATGTAAAAGTATTTTGAACAATATTGTTGGTAATTTTACAAAATGTGTAGGAATAACTGTTCCCAAGGTCATCAAAAATGCTATTAAGTTTGTTTATTCAGTATTTCTGCAGTTTTACATAGCTATTCATCCAACATACAAATTGAAGACAATGAAGATAAGCATGCAGTATTTATTGAGATAAATTATCTACACGTACCAGTAAACTACACAAATGGTTTAACATAAAAGCACATATCTCTGTTCAAAGCAGTATATTGTTGGTTAATTGTTGTTAAAGGTTGTTTTCTCTCGATATATCTAGAATTCTTATTCAATGTATGGTTATGTATTAAGATTTTCAATGTTTATCAGTATTGAGTTTTTCTTCCATTCTGTTCTCTTGTTGAGGCTTCAATTTGTATATGGATAGGGTCAAGCCTGGACAAATGAAAAAAATCTAAGTGTGGCCTGATGACCACCCTATACTACAAAAAGATTTATATGGTGAAAGCTAATGAAGCTGTCCAAATCCAACAGGCATATTATTTGTGTTAGTCATGGACAAATTAAAAGGAATGAGGAAATAAATATCTGTAGTTCGTATTTTTTGGTTTTATCATTACATCCAATAAGCAACTACATAGACATAACATTTCTAATTATGCAGCTTGCAAACTGCACAGCACATGCTATGTAGTGTGAGCCAAGCTGGCTGAACCATATGCTAATTGCCATGACAACCAATCAAACAAGTTGAAGCTGTGGTCTCATTATCCCCTGTTCCTAATACCTAGCTTTAAAGTACCATACAGCTTAAATGGAGATGGCAAAACCTGTATGGTGCCAAAGAGCAAAACAATATTGTAATAACCTTCTGTACTCAGAATTTTGCAATACAAATGACTTAACTGCATGTATCATGAGTGTGTTGGTACTCGAAAGTAAGAATCTGCAAATTTTCCCTTCTGATGTGTACTAGAATTTTATTTTCTAGTACTTTCTGTGTTTTAATGCAAACCTGATCAGATATTTACTAGTTTGTAAGCATTGATTTCACAGCCTGTAGATATTCATGTTCTGTCTTCTTCATATGTAAAAATTTTAATACAATATTAAAAAAACTTACTGACATAAAGTAGCTTTCTCTGGACTATCACTGTGATGGTTATATTGTTCATTATTTTATGGCTGAATGCATTGTTTCAGACACACTTAGTGAACATTATTCATGCTAGCAGCTAACATTGATTTTTTATTATTTTATTATTTTAGGGACACAACCACTTGGAGAAAAATCATATTTTTTGCTCAAAACATAAAAACATCAAAATTTTGAAATTTCTCATTTATACAATAACATTTGAACCTTTTTTTACATTGCATTGGTTTGCCCATTACATTTTCTTTGCTCTTCTTGCCACAAAGTTCTTATTGGGTAATATACAATATTCAAGATAGATAGCACCATATCCGAGTTAATTCCGTGAAATGAAACAGAACTTTTCCACTTGTAACACCCCAGGAAACAGTATGATTGATGCAGTAAATCAGACAAAAGAAGCAACATGTATATAATGTTAGCCTGCATCCATGGAAAAACAATTTTATCCATTTCTGCTGTTAAAAGTTGTGCATTTATTTAGTCCTAGCTATCAGCAAATTAGATTATCTGTAATGAAATATTGTCATTACAACTGATGGTTTTCTTTGGCAAGACTCTTGCAATTTTGAATCAATTTGGTTTAACCAGAATATAAGAAAGACTTGTGTGTGTGTAAAGGAACCAAAGGATACGATATGATATTAGAAATAAATACCTGTCAAAACCATTTTGGACTTAGAAATAAGAAAATAAAACTTGGAGGGTTTCAGTTTTACTCTTCTTTCAGAATATTTGAAAAAAAAAGTGCATTAGTGATCAGTCATATTAAGACTGAAAGATAGTTAAATAATTGAGCTTTACAATAATAAAATGATATGTATCTAACACGGAAGAGAAGAGGTAAAGGAAATGTATATGAATAATAGCACTGAAAACCTCTAGTTATTGGTGATACTTTTTTATTTCTGATATTTCAAATATAGTTTCAAACATTCTTAAGGTGCTTACAAGTTTAGACTGTAATTGAACATTTATGCATTACTACATTATATAAAGATTTGAAGAATTTTTCAGAGATATTTTTGATAAGTTATAAAATTGAGCTTGAATGTTTTTTGAAATCTCCCTAAAAAATGTGTATAATGTTAATTATTATCTGGCATCTGAAAGTTGAAAGGTGATGGTTAATCCAATACCCAGATTTTGAATGTACTTCAATTATAATAGCTTATTTATTCCAAATGTTAATCATTTGATTTCAATGAATTACTTCATATTGATTATATGCAGCTGACATTCTGCCTCCCTTTTTGTTATTATTAATTATAAAGATTTATTTGGCACTTGTATTATATAATACAGAATTTATCATAGTCGCATAATCTTTCATACCAGAAATAATTCTGTGTTCTAAGCTAGTTTAATCAGTCCTCAAAGATTCCACTAATCAGCTTGTTTGTACTAGTGGAAGATTACACGATAACTGTTATATTTTATAATTAATGCTCATTTTTCCATAATAAAGTATCTGTACAAGAGGAGTATTTTCCTCAGCATCATATCCCAGCTTTGTTGGGCCTGGCATAGCAAGGCTGTTAAGGTGATCAACTCATAATCTGAGGGTTGTAGGGTTCAAATACCTGTTGTCGAACATGCTTGCTGTTTCAGCCATGGGAGTGTTATAATGTGATGGTCACCACTACTCATTGGTAAAAGAGTAGCCCAAGAGTTGGCAGTGAGTGGTGTTGACTAGCTGCCTTCCCTCTAGTCTATCACTGTCAAATTGGGACAGCTAGCACAGATAGCCCTCATGTTGCTTTGCATAAGATTCAAATCAAATCGGCTTTGTTTGACAACTGAAGACACGTGCACTTATTTCCAAATAACTGTACACCTTTAAACATGTTTCCCTCGTGCATTTTCTCTGGCTTATTCCAATCTCTTATAAGTTCTTTGTTTGTGTAATCTTATTTAGAATAAGAAGTCCAAATGTTGGTTAATTATTGGTTTTCTGCACCTGACACATGTTATTTACATAAATGTAATGCAAAGCAATGACAATCATTGATTGGTACCTAGATGAAAGGGGTCGATATTATAGATAGGTTACTCATTTATTGAGCAAATGCTAGGACCCCTCTAGAGAATAATTTTAAGTTGGGATGAGTCTAAAATATTTAGAATTAGAAGTCCAAATGTTGGTTAATTATTGGTTTTCTGCACCTGACACATGTTATTTACATAAATGTAATGCAAAGCAATGACAATCATTGATTGGTACCTAGGTGAAAGGGGTCGATATTATAGATAGGCTACTCATTTATTGAGCAAATGCTAGGACCCCTCTAGAGAATAATTTTAAGTTGGGATGAGTCTAAAATATTTTGAAACTGCTGTTGAGAATAAGATTAATATCTAGTTTTATCACATTTATTATTACCTTGGAAAATATTTTTTGAATCACCATGTAAGAAAAGTAAAACCTGTGCAGGATGAATAGAAATTTTCTGTCATTTGTCCTGTAAGATTAGTGTCCATTTCAAATATTTTCAAGCCCTGCTGATTATCCAAATCATTAAGTTTTTTACTATCACCCAGAGGTATGTACTATTTTAAGTGCTTGTGGTAGGATATTTATTGTTGCATTAAGATCTTACAACAGTATAAATGCTATTATTTGTAGAACTATAACAATGGCTACCATGGAGACAGGTTTAGCAAAGACAAATCTGGTTATGTTGACAACCGAGGAAGACAAAATCAGCATCAGCGACTTCCAAGGTTGCCACTTAGAAACCATTCGAACATGCCTCACCAACAGTAAGATTCATGCCTTATAAAAACTTTCACTGCTTGAAATGATGGAATAACTATTAACTATTATGTATTGTTTAAAACAGCAACTCTTAGTCATTTTCAAAGCCAGAAAACTAATTTTCAAGACCATATATTAACATGACTGCTAAATACTGCTAATTATTCTTTTTTTTTATTATATAGCTTCTGTATTATTTTCATTGCTAATTTATTTTGAATGTGAAGTTTGGGGTCAGAAAAGCATGACTGGTTATGCTAAACACATACAATACAAGAGAATTAATCCAGAGTACTGATATCTCCCAGAAAAAACAAACTGTTAAAAACTCTTCATGCCATTGTAAACAAATAATGTAAAATACTAAAAATTAAACAAATAACTGAAAAAGAAAAATTATTCTAGCTTTTGAAGAAGCTTAATTTCCCTCCCCTGGATGTGAAAAGTAAAGATAGAAACAGGTGAAAATTAGAAAAGTAGTTACATAGCTAATTGGTACCTTCAGAATGATAACAGTATTGTTATTAAACAAGCTTATGAATGTTATTCAGTCATTATTTTAAATTTGAATGGTATACTAAAGAGGCTTTACAACAATGTATTATTGACCTCTTTCTTTGAATCTTGATGAATTGAATCTAAACAAAAAATTTTGAAACTCAAAACATTTGAAAATGAGCTTGATTTTAATATATACACCTGGAAAAAAGTTAAGCACCCCAGTGTTTTTTTCAAGTGATTCAGATTCGACGTTCTTGTGACTGA